CAACCAAGCGATTCTGTGATTCTGTGAAGATGAGTACTGAAAGCATTACCTGTTCTCCGGTGCATTTGTGAGCGATGCCACGATGTTCTGCTCTATGAAGAAGAGCATCGACAGGAGGAAACCCAGCCCCATGGCGCTCATCACGGACCCGATCGAGAGGGACTGGACTGGGGCCAGCACGAACAAGCTCTCAGATGGGTTGTAGTTAAATTTGGACACTGGAAGGAGGAAGGGAATGATGTTAGGAGGCACCTTCTTGTCCAACCAACACGGACTCAAGTAATGTTTTACCCACATCACGAACTATGGGGAAACAACACAACAAACCAGGCGTGATGCTCTGGCACATTGGGAGCCAGAAGGCCCTACAAGATGGGCTCATCTGGCTGTTTTAGTTTATTTTTTTCCTCTGTCCTCTCATAATTTGGCTGCCATCCTGATTTGACAGATTACTGCTAGTTCTGGTGAGGCATTACACATACTTGAACAAAAGAGGGAAACTTGTTTTCCACACGTGAGGCATTTTCAGATTAGAAAACCTTATTTCTAACTCGCAGTATACTCCTGCTCAATTAATCAACTGACAAAGGCGGCTTAAAAAACTTCCTCATATCCAACAAGCTGTGCAAGCCATTTTAGTATAAAATGCTCTTACTTTCCTGCCACTGGAAGAAATCCATGCTTAGGGGTAAATCACACATGGCCACACATCATTTTACAATCCAACTGGATGGAATGGCCATCATAGGAAAAAAAGCCATTTCTTATTTGTTTCCATACATTTCCTCACATCACCCACTCACGTCACCACAGGACAATGCAATTCCTGTCCCCATTATCGCTTCCTGATATGGAAAAGCTGATCTATTCAGCCAATGAATGGTGTCTCATTTTTAGATTTCCTTGTGGAACTTAGAACTGCCCAGATGCTCCGCACCGTTTCACCTAAATTACGAACACGTGAAGTGGAGACAAAGAGGACAGGCTGGGATCATCAACTCTACGTCTGTACAACTGGCAACAACCCTTCCTGCCTGCTAATTGCTCTGCCCTTTGTTCTTCGCCAGAAATTGTTGATCCTTTTTATTGTAAGGGATACATACTTTAAATTACGTTGAAAAGAAAGCACACACTGGAATAATTTAGACAAAAAACTCCCTCACTCAGCCTCATTTGATTATGGCTTTGAATAAATTAAATCTAATACTGAGGAAATCGGAGCTCTTGGGGTAGTGGGAGGTAGATGCCGTATTTGTGAATTATAATGGAAGAACTTACCTATTTTTTTAGCAAAACCTTCCTGAGATTTAATTTCTCTGTTTCACACACCCTAAATAGCTTCCCCCGTACACCAGAGAAAGAAAATACAACTTACTTTCAATTTCCTTGAAGATATAGGAGCCCACAACTGAGAAAGTCAGAACTGAAATCGGTAAGGCACAGTCGGACAGAATTTCACGCACTCTGGCATGCAAATACGGGCTGCAATTGAAAGACACAAGATTTCCATCAGCACCACACGGTAGGGACAACTGCTTAATCCAGACAGCGTTAATGCTTTAACAAGTGAAAATTCAGTCCAATCTTGCAATTCTAAAGAGATACTTAAAGTGAAGAATTAGTCTCTAATTCAGCCCTAAATCCTCTGGAATCTATAGCCTTTGAAGGTTGATGAATGCATAAGCAAAACCCCTAAGGAAATAAGAAACTAAGATGCAAGCTAGGAAAAAAAAAAAAGAGTCTTCCAAGCACCAATTTGTGTCTCATTTCCACTTTAGTTTAATTGCTTACTCAAGCATTGCAAATGAAGAGTTTTAAGAGCAAGGGGAATAAAACCCAAGTTAGAGCTGGACATTGGATTCCCAAGAGCACACTGAAGGGACATTCCCACTGCAGCACCGTCAGGGATTTTTCTCCCCTAAAATGGTCTCATGTTCATCTGGGGAGGGGGCAGCTACAGGAGTTCCACCATGAAATACACGGTTCACCCAAAGCTTTCTAACAAGTCACTTTGCAATGCCAAACCAAATACGGAAGGGCATCGTCCAGTGACCGAACATTTTGTCCTGTCGCTAACATTTTCCAGGTGGCCAGCCAAGTTCATCGCTGGCTTTGGCTTCCACTGCCACTACTGGAAGAGTTCCACCTGCTTTTTCCTGGGTTAAAAAACAAAAAATTAAGATCTAAGCCATTAGCGATTCCTCACAGGTAAATATGAAATTATCAGTAGTCTGAACTCTAAGACTGAAGGAACTCACCTTTTCTTAAACTGATAGAGCGTATGACCAAGCCAAAGGGTACCCAACATCAACATGAGACTAAGGACGGCAGTTTCACGTCCATAATGCACATCGTGCGTGCCTGTTTGATTCTCTAGGGACATGGATCTGCTCACTGATGAATTCATCAAGAAGGTGGTATTGATGCCGAGGCTTGGAATAGCATCAGTTCGTGCTTTTTCCAAGTAACTGTCTCCTGTGCGCCCATGGTAGTAATATTTCTTAAAAACTGTACAAACAACCAACAGGCAAGCATTAGGACAGGTCTGTGACAAAGCAAGTAAAATAAAGTGGTTCTTTCTTGCTTGATCATGCAAGTATTAACATTACGGTTCACCAGGTTTAAAGCTCTACCCCTCAAAATCAGCGAAAAGCAAGCAGGAACGCTCCTTCTCTTACAAAGCCGGTGCTTCACAAGTTTATTTTTAACTTATTTAACAAGTTAAATTGATCTAAAGCAACAACATTTGAACTGTAAGGACTTCCAGTACTAATTATTTACATGATTTTGTTTCATAGCACTGGAATAATTGCTCTAGATGTATATACAGACACCTACGTTCAGCAGCCTGGTAAACAAATTTCATCAGGATCTCTAAAAAGAAAATTAAGAGCAGCCAGGCTGCACAGATCCTTAAATGGACTACAAAATGCACAGTAATTACCCCTCCTCCAAGGCTGGTCCAGAATTTAAAGGTAAGTGTTGTTGATATGCAAAACCTGGCAGAACATTTAAATTCACACTGCAAATTGAGTTACAGAGCACCTGAAGTAAACCTGCACAGGTTAAACACCCAGTAACGCCTCTGGAACTGTCCCTGAGTGCATTAGGTTAGCTCAGAGGCATTTATACAAGTAAATAACAATTGTAAATACAGCATTTGAGCATTTAGACAGCTGTGTTTCCATTTCTATGGCATGGGCTGGCTTCAAGCATATAAATGGGGTGTTGGGATGATTTGAGAACTCTTTTGAGAACAAGAACTTGAGGTGCCACAAGGAGCAAATAAAAGCAGAGGATGGGAGTTGGGCTTCACAGCTTTGATACTCCCAAGTTATGGGATCAGATGGCAGTCCATACCTGTGGGGAGATACAGGAGGATGGAAACTACCACGTCAGAGCTTTGTGGTCTCTTTCTTTGCTTTAGTCAAGATATCCCTTTGAATTTTGCATAAGGAAACTCAAAAGTTTAGGGCAAGACCATCCTCTTTAGGTGAAAATACAACAATCTGAAGCTTAGGCTATAATGTTCCTCATAACATATTCCCCCAAATAATACAGTTTCTGAAAGGCCCAAGCACCTCAGCTTTTCCACCCGCAGCAGCTACAGGGAAAGCTGGCGAAACCAACTGCAATTCTAAATATTTGAAAACTGGCAAAACAAACCATAAATATTCCTGCAAAGCACATCCAGGATTTGCAACCACCTTGAATTTGGCCAAAGCACAGTTTGTGTCATTGCTCGTTTGGAGCTTACCCCAAAATAAAATGCCTCCATTTAGCTACGCTGCCATTTTAACAGTGATAACAACCCTTCTTGTACCACATTCGTGTATTAACAGGAGTCCAAAATGACAAATGGATGAGGTCAATAGAGCATGAAGATCACAAGAGAAAAAGACCAGATACTTCACATTCAATACTTCTGTATATAAATTTAAAGAGCATAGAAGGTTTCTAGTTCAAGATTTAACTGAAGAGGCTTTGCTATCATTTCCTCCCTCCATCCTCACAGCTGTGTCCAGCCCAGCTTCGCAAAGGGGTAAACTGAGGCACAGCACAGGTTGTTGGGAGGATTTGCAGTTTCTGGCTCTGAACATTAAAGGACATTTTTTGTCATAACAACAATGATTATGGCAGTATTTCCTGGGGATTAGCAGCTGGCCAGGGCTAAAGGCCTGTTCACCATCTCAGCTGGCCCTAAGTGCTACTAAATCCTAAAGACATGCACAATTACTGATAAATGTAATTTACAATGATTACAATGTATTTGCAGGCCTCCATATTTAGATCTGGACTCCGACAGATAAGAAACAAGTTCGGTTTTTGGGTGTCTTGTGGATTTTCTCAGTTTCCCACACTGGGTTATACTGCAATGAAGCACTTAGGGCTGAGCACATTTTTGGTGCCCTGAATCCAACCTGGCTGCATCTCTGTACTTTACTTCTCAGGCTGCAATTCACTTTGCAGCCACCTCAAATCTAGGTAGGGTTGCTCCACTCAATC